ACACCCATGTATAATCATGACTATATATTAATTTAAATTACGTCTAACAACACACTCAGAAGATTTCTAATAAGTTAATGTACAAGATACAAAAATAAGATAAGATCTTTATTATTAAAGTTTAAACTTAATACTTATGAATGTCTTAACTATTATTTTACAAACTTTCTGAATTTTTACTTAAATATAATTCTTTCAAAATCTTAAATTTATCTGTTATACGATTAAATTTTTATGTCTGCACAGAAAATACTACTTATCGTGCAAACTCTTATGATCATGGCTTTTTTTTGCCTTGATATTTTTATGCATGATACATTACACAGGCTGATATTCGACAAATGTACGAATATTCAAATACAATTTATTAACAATTGTACAAATATTCAATTTTGTAATATATATTCGCAGAATAAGCTAAGTATACATATTATTTATTGCATATTTTTTTTACATTTTAATTCTAACGATTACTTGAACTGAAATTGAACGTGCAATTATAAAAAACGTTCCTGGTAAGGAATTTTTCCAATGCTTCCTTATTCATTTTTGATTTTGACCCCTGATTTCATTAGAATTTTGATTTTCAGTTTGTTTTAAGTTTTGATTTTGACTTTTCATATTCGTACGGCCTTCTTTTTGCACATTCTGATCAAGTTCACTTAGTGTAATTCGTGAAGATTCAGTTAGTGCAATTCGTGAAGATGTGGTTATTGCAATTCGTGGAGATTCAATTAGCATATTTTGTGGAGGTTCAGTTAGTATATTTTGTAGAGAATCAGTTAGTGTGTTTTGTGGAGATTCAGGTAAATCATTTGCTGAAAATTCTTTAATTGCAAATGAAGAATAGTTGCTTGCCAATGTAAAACCACTAAATGCTTCGATGGTTTTTTTAGTTTGATCAGGTATTTCACTATCTTGACCTTGTAGTTCAGATGGTGATGAATTTGAAACAAGCATCAAAGTATTAAAAAACCCATTTAGCCCTTGTTGTTGCATTACAGACTTGGGCCGTTCATATGATGATAAGCCTTGTTGGGTTTTATGACGTGTAATAGACATGACGACAGAATCAGAATAGCCTAATCCTTTTAATATCTGAACAGCAGTCTTACGACCTGAATGATTTGAAATGATTCTATCGCCAATAGTGATATTAGTAATTTCACATATATGGCGAAAATAACCTTTCAAAGTACGTTCGGGCAATGCACGTGTAAAAAACCATCGTGTACTAAATTCAGCTGTAATAAACAAATTTTTTATTTAATAAAATTTAAAATATTACATTTTAATTAATTACAATATAAAAAAATTCTTAAAATAAAAAACTAATTTTACTAAGTAAATTCAAAAAATCTTTGAACCAATAATCCACTTACTATCATTTTCAGTACATGGTTTTAAATAAAAGTTTGCAATGGCAGTTGCTAGACGTTTTGTAAAGTAATATTCATAGTCATTAATAATTTCTTTGATGTTTGGTAAACTAATCATTTCAGCTTGTACGTCACAATCATTTAATCCTCTTTGATTTGTTTTAGATCTGTATAATTTAACATCTATTCCACCATCATATCTTTTCACAAAATTATTGATCTTCAAATCTTGATGCTCTCCACCGCGTAAAGCCAACAATATAGCATTATAGAAAAATATACAACGCAATAAACCTTCAGAAGATGTGCGCTGCATCGTAGTATGTGATAAGATCTGCTCAACTTCATTAATAGTTAGACCATCTGACCCATTACGTTCACCAAGACCCGCTAAAGAAAGAGTTTTTAACTTTCCATTAATTACAGTATGAAGATCATAAAAAACTTTTGGGTTTAGTATGTCTACGGGCTTTTCTAAAACAGAATGTTCATTCAAATGGTGCTAAATTGCAGCCAAGCAATTCCTTACTGAAGATGCATGGTACTCTTTACCATCCTTACGCTTCATTGCACATATGTATCTGGCTAATTGATCCTCTAAAACTGATTTTGAATTAATGTCCTCTATTTTTCTGTCATAACCTACATCCGCACGAAATTCTTCCAACCCCTTAACCCATACTTGGGTTGCTTTGCGTGTTGATTATACTTGGGAACTTTCACGGATAGCTTTCATTTCATCAAGCGAAGGCTCAGTGTATTTGAAAGTCTATACAGTAAAATTAATATTCAATATTGTTTTTTTGGTAGTTTAAACTAACCAAATAATAATTAACAATAACTTTAAAAAAAAAACAACCTTGGAACTGGTGAGTGAAGCTGATTTTGATTTCGGCATTCTTTTTTTTTTTTATTTGAATACAGTACTAACACCGAAACTTTCCTTGTAGCTTATTAATGATAGTAAAGCCTTGACAGATTAGCAGTGACGGCAAATTTCCTTGTTAATAAATTCTAACAGTAACAAATTCTCATCATTAGCTAACTAATATCAACATTTAAATGCAAGGTACTGTATTTGTTATACGAACCAACAATGTAAGAACTTCTTAAAAGTAAAGAATGAACGAAAATCAAGGCACAAAGTGCAAAAGAAAACACTACGTCAGTATGTGCGAAAGAAAAAATCTTTACTTTCTAAAGCATTTTGAAAAAAAAATCTTTTTGATCGATCATCTAATCTTTTATAGATTGATGACGTATTAGGTTGACAACTTTACTACGCCATGATCATAGTTGCACGATAACATCGATATTGGTCATGCGTTAATAAATAACGTAAAATTTGTTCAACCAGGCAAATGATCGGCTGACACATGCCGCTGCGCGGCACGTGTCAGCCAATCATTTGCCCGGTTGAACAAATTTCACGATGCATGACCAATATCTTTCTGCATGTGAAGTTACACTCAAATACGCAAATGTAATTGGTGGACAAAAATAGTTAACCAATTAAAATTGCAGATTTATTGTGTAACCTGACATGCATAAAAAAGAATAATATTGTTTTATAATGCGATATCCAGTAAAAATTGCGATTTATTGTTTTCTAATCTTTTCGAAATTTTCTAGGGGCCCTACGCTGGGGTAGTTTAACACTGGTCAGGTGATCACGTGATAGGTAAAAATGACCCAGGTCAAAATAAAATAATATTTGTATATTGTACCTATATAATCATATTGATAAATTACAATTTTACTAAAGCTCTTACTAAAACAGTATGAGTCATTTCTTGATAGGTCATAAGTCAAAAATTGGATCAAGTAGTATGGATAAAGACTAATAAACTCGGATTGCGATTAAGGTCGAAGAAATTTTTGATACCGTATAAGTGCAAAATAACGCTCGTGGGCATTATTTTGAAAATCGAATCCTTCAAAAATAGTTTATGTGGTCTCAAAATTAGCATCCATTGGCGTTTCGAATTAACGCACAGTAGCATATAATCATTGTTAGAAAAATGCTACACAGCAGATCTTCCATAAGAGCATCCTTTATAAATGCACTTCACATGCACTTTCTTTCCATAAGTGCACTTCACATACACTTCTTTCTATAAATGCACATCATTTGACCCGTCTAACGTAACGTAACATTATATGTATATTATATTCCATAAGCGCACATTCCGTAAGTGCACTTTTTCCTAATTACATACATTTATGGAGGACGTCTAAAGTGGAGTAGATTCTTATAATATATATTTATTAAATTAACTTTAGGATTGGAATCATCTTATATTAGGGATAAATTAGGTTTAACCAATTATATATGAGCAAAATTGCCTTTCCGACACTTTTAATTAACTTACTCAGGTAGGTTTAGACTGCCGTTTTTTGTATTTTCAGGTTTTTCGCTTTTAGTTCATGTTTTGCTTCGCCGGGGATCATCAAATTCTATAATTTGATTAGCCATATTTCATATGATTCTGATCCACTTTAGACGACCCTCATTTATGGAAGATTGACGGTATTAGATTCAAAAAAAAAAAAAAAAAAAACCAACTCTTATTTCGAAATGACGCACATGGGCGTATTCAAACAATGTGCAGGTCAATTAATTAACGCGCAGATGGTGCTTATACGGTACAAACTCCGAAAAGATCTGATTTAAATATTTTTTGATATGTTACGACGGGCACATATCATATATAATCATAACCCGGGTCGACATTTGACCCGTCTGGGTCGTTATTTTCCGACCCGGGTAATACCTCTAGCTTATAGATTCGAAGAGAAAAATACAATTAACTCGTGATCTTCTAAACCGATCTTGATAATTCTAGAGCTACTAGAACAGAAATAATTTGCTTTACAATGTTTCTAATGGACGTTGCTTCGCACAAAAAAAAAAAACAACAACTTTATTTATAAGCTAGCTGCACTCCATCATTATAAAAAAAAAACCATATTAACTTCGACAATTTTTATTATGAAATTTATACCCTTTAACCACGATTTACCTTAAAATTTTGGTAAAAAGAATAATGAATGGATTTACTAAATAATTATTAATTGTTTATTTACTTTGCACTTTCTCAGTTAAACAAGAAATGATTATGACAAACGATATCAACTATTCATATATTGTATTACTAAATGTCAGGCATATAATATTTACAGTACGTACATACATAGTTTGTAAATGATTAATAAAGAGCAATTTTTAACTAAAATTGTGATAAATTTATCCACGAGACGGTAGTTTTAACTTTTTGCAAACATCATTACATCTATGATTATCTAAAAAACATCTATTAATTCCATTTCTACCTAAATTAGTCTTTCCAAATCTTACGGGATCAATACAATGTATCGCAGGATCAGTTAATAAAAACTGATTAGGTGATTCAATTCCTTGAAGATCAGAAACAACCAAATATCCATCAGTATGTACATAAGTAAAATGTACAAATGCTTCAAGAACAGGTCTATATTCTACAATGACACCAGAATTTACATTAAACCGTTTAAACTCAGCATCTTGAAGTTCCGGTTCAGTAATATAATAACGAGTCCTACCATCAAAGGTAGCACGTACTAAATTCACTCTAAGGAAATTTACAAATGGAATGCCTTTTCCTCTTGCTTTCAAATTAAACTTTATAGTAAGGTAACTTGTTAAAGCAGAGATTTCCACGGACTCGAGATACTTTTCAAATAAATTTTCAGTTCCATCTTTCAAATATTCTTTCATCACCATTCGTCTAGGTGGATAATATTTAGTACTAATAGCATAATAAGCATATTTTTCAACACCTGCAGCAAATGGTTGTTCAGCGATTTTGAAATGATAAGATTTAGAGATAAGATTCTTTTTATCATAAAATCTTTCATTTTTAAGTTCGGAAACTTTTTCAGGAATATAATAACATAAAGTTACACCTTTTCGATCAGGAATAGTAGTCCAATTTGGCATAGTTTTATTAATTTCAATTCTTCTTTGTGATAGATTGCTTCTAGTTCCAATAGTACTAGTTAATGAAACCGACATAGTAATAGATGATGTAGTAGCAGCTACAAATTTATTAATTAATTCAATTGGATCACCACCTACAAGTTCAAATATTGAAAATTCACCAATTATACTACGAAATACTTCAACCATAGTATCAGTATAATTTGTAATTTTTCCAAAAAAGTAAAAAATATTTTCAGATTGCATTCGTTGTAATACACTCTCTGCTGTTAAACCATTTGGATCACCACCTGGATATTCATCTTGCATAGTAGTAAAACGTGTGCCGTGAGGTGGATAATCACCAATATGAAAAAGGACTCTAGTACCATTATTCCAAGACATTTGATTTATAGCAGCATCAAGACCTCCAAGAACATCTTCTGGGCCATCACCACCACCATTAGCTGGTACAGAAGATAAATTTGATCTGAATTCTTCATAAGAATTTGTAAAATTAAAAAGTTGAAGGCGCGAAGGACCATCACAATGATCTCGATAGCCACAAAAACCAACTTTAATTTTAATGCATGGATTCGTATTTTTAATATATTCTGTCACTTGCAAAATACAATCTTTGGCTGCATCGATATGTCCCGCCATAGAACCTAAATAAATTATATGGTAGCAAAAGTTAAATAATGATTTAAAGTACAATAAAAATTAAAGCAAAATGTGAAATATACACACCAGTACAGTCTAAAACGTAACAAAGATCAACTTCCATTGAACGTTCTATGTTAGCAAGTGTCTTGAGAATAGCTCTCTCCCTTTTTCTTATAACCTCCCTCTTTCTAATTCTGGCATCATCAGTGGTGACAGAGGGTACGATCGTGGATGAGCCGGTGGATACATGCGTATTGTTGTTGTTAAGAACTGTATCACTAGGTGCGGTTGCAGTTGCATGATTAGTAACTGTACCGGTAGATAAGGATGTGTTGGTAACTGTCATATCGTTTCTAGATGCAGTTTCGGATGATACTTCGTCTCCATAACGGTTAAGACGCTGGTCTTCAATGTTTAGTTCTTCAAAATCTCTTACAAAAGATGTGGGCAATGAGGAAGCATTAGATCTCGTCTCTGATTCAAAATCATTTCTAAATCTATTAATATCGTTTTCAGAAAGTTCGGAACTAATTTCAGCTGTTTCTCTATATTGAGTGTTAGACATTTTTTTTTTTTTCAAAAGAAAAATGGAAATAGTAATCGTAACGGTAAGTCAAATTTTTTACTAATAATTTGTACGTAGTAGAAAAAATATGCAGTTAATCTCTTTTAGGATTTATTAAAAAAGAAAACGCTTTCTGATTAATCCTGTTTGATTATGCAAATCAGCCTACAATTGCATTGCTACTTTTGATTAACGAGTGTCTTCGAGATTTCAGTAAAAAAAAAATTGAATATAGAATTGTACTCTAGAAAAGAATAGTATGTATGGATTTAACAAAATTTATGAATTTATATAGAATTCACGTCAAATTTACGACGAAGGTACAAATTTTCGTAAACACGTATTCATGAATTTTTCTCATCAGTTGTATAGCTCGGAGTTTATTCTCCGAGTTAGAATTATAGATACTATCAAAATTCAAAAAAGGCAATTTTTAACAAAGAAATTGATAACGATAACGAACCTGTCATTGTTTCCGTATTAGTATTCATGTAACAGATTATCATTCGAACACGTGATTTTTAAATATCTTTTTTTTGAGTACGTGATATATATCATGTTAGGATGCTAACTAGTGTTGATTATTAGAAACTATAGTAAATTTTATGGATGCCCTGGTCCTTTGACATGATAGCTTAAATTTATAAGTGATTCTTAACTAATAAGAATTATCTGATGGTTATTCTGGACCAACACTCATCGCATATAGTGGTAAAGTTTTTTTAGAATGTCACCATAGATGGAAGAACCACATACACGCAATATATGCTTCAAAGGTAAAGATATAGTGTGTAAATGAATGATATAATTTAGTTGAGTACGTTACAATAGATTTTAAGTATATGATCAAGATTATTGAAAATTAACAAAGTTCTCAACTTCCTCTTTATTAAGTGGATATTTATATATTTCATCTACGCCTAGTCACACATGTAATTATTTTCCACCTCTTGTGGTTGTTTGAACACACATGTGAATACGGTAAATTTTCGCAATGGCTCTGAGATAACAAGATAACTAGAATTTAACCAAAACGCTTAATGTACTAGATTTGACTATAATGAACTTGGCTAAAAAGCAGAAGTTCAATAAATCACTCAAAATTTTAAATTTAACCAATTGTAAACTCGGATTAGAATTGAATAAAGCTTTAACAGAAATGTTAAAATTTTAATCAAAGACTTTACCCGTGATTGAGTAGCAAAAATTACTCGGGTCTAAGGTAAGGAAGGTTTTAAGAAAACGGTTAACATCTAAACATAACTCTAATGTTCAAATTTTTTACGCGAAAATAAGCTTGGTTCTGAAACAAGAAAAGTTATTTCAGAAGCTTTAATAAAAATAATATTGAAAATACATAAATTCTAATCACACGTTCTACCAATTAAATCTTATAGAATATTTATATAGAATGTGTTATCAAAATATATTATGTTTTCATAGTTCTTGCAAAGTATAGCAAAGTTCAACTATATTGTATGAGGTTATTAAATTTTGCACGTATGGTTTCTGTGCCAGGTTATGCAAAACTACGAATCAGATTTCGTAACGTAACACGATCAGAAAATTTGTTAGTTTAGTCAAAAGTCGCCAAAATTTGTATAAAAACTATGGATGGTAAAAAACAGGTTAAACAGATTTTAAACATGTTTATTGCTTAAACCTTTTTTTAATACATTGAAGTAAGATAAAATTTTGTTGATACTGAAAATATTGCTTATGATGGTGTAATTTCGAATTTACGTAAAAAAAATAAATAAAAAATCAATATATTTGATCGCTTTAATTTTATCAATCGCTATTATTTTTAAATGCGAAATTTGCTTATCGGCCAATATAATCTTTCATTCTATATTAGTTTTACATTTGTTGGTATTGACGTCTAAGGTTTATAAAATTGCCACTATGTAAACCCATTGATTAAGTTTTTGCGAATGAATTATCTAAGTTTTTAATAAACCTTATATATTTCTTGGAAGGTTTACATTTTAATTAATGACCATTTAATTGGACGACTAATTCTACAAAATCTTCTTCGCAATAATTACATTTTTGGTGAGGTGTTGTTCAATCATGTTTATCAGGTTTAGCAACTTTTGTAAAGTTTAAACAGATTTCTTTTGACGGGGATCTTCCACGAACATGAGACATTGTTTTGAAGAAATTTTTTTTTTTTTTGAATTTTAGTAGTCATAATATTATAAATTTAAATTACGTAATCAGACGTATTAAAAAACTTTTAACAGATTTAAATCAAACATGATTTTTAAGATCGTGTTTTAGAACATTTGTTTGGTCTTTAACAAAATGTTCTCCTTGAGAGATTTTACTATATAACTTGGTAAAATCTATACCTAACATGAACACTAGCCTTAACATCAATAATTAAGATTTTGTTAACTGTAAAACTGCGCTATAAACCTGGCACAGAATCCATACGTGCTAATTTGATTACCATTACCATTACATTTATATGAACGATCACAATTACGATTATGATTTAGAGTATAAAGCAAGAATATAAAATACTGAATAGATAAAGTATTTAAACTAAGAATTTAATAATAAAATGCTTTATGACGTCCCGAGAGTATATCTGCGGGACGAACCTAGCATCGCCAAAAATCAGTTATGTAGTGGCACTTAAATTAAATTTTCCGATAATTCATTTTTGTATGACAGATAATTTTGTAATTATTACATACCAATATACTGATATATAGTACTACTTTTTTGAACGATAAAAATTTTGTAATTATTACTAATCAATATAATAATCTTTTTGAACGATAAAAATTTTTTCTTACAGTATTTTATGAATCCTTTTTGCAAATTGTGCCGAAATTATAAAGCTTTAAAAGCTTTTCAAGGAAATAAGACCTGTTCCGAATGTTTAATACGTTTTAGAGTTAGTAAAAAACGAAATGCTGATAACTTGGTTTTGAAGACAATGTGTTTAATGTGGAAAATACTACGGACAAACTCTTGCAATCATGGATATTTTAATGAAAATTTGAAAGTATTCATAGGTATTATTTTGAAATAGCAATTAATTTAAGCACATGGATTAATGAAATTCCCTTGGAGATAGAAAACGATCAGTACGACAATTGCAATAAAGTTGTCAAACTTGTTGAGCAGGGAGATGGATACATTTGGATAAGCACGATTCAAATTCGGACGAATATATGAAAACAATACTTAAAAGGTGTTATTTATTTTATTTTTTTTCAGGCAGTAGAATTTATTAAAAATAATCAAATCTTCCTCAACAAAATAAATGGTTAAATGCGTTGAAAAAAAAACTTTGATCAAAAAAATGGTAAAGAACTTAAAGGGATTCAAAATGCAAAAACATTAAGAAAAACATAGAGTGAGCGTATTTAAAATACCTTCTATTGACAGTAGTGTTTTTAAAAAAGATTTATGCTATGAAATACTCGGTGGATATAATTTTCTTTTAGTGGGATAAATTTCATTACGCAAATATGTAGTGTTTTATTTTTTATTTAAATCTAACACTACCAAGTTTTTTAATCAAAATAAAATTAAATTTGTTTTTTATTGATATATGAATTTTCATAAAAGTATTTCATCTTGCATCATTTAAAATTATTGTACATTAATTTGTCGGAATTTTGATTTAAGTGCCGATGCTAGGGTGATTTATCTGCGGGCTAAAAAAAAAACCAATCTTTTAGTAGAATATACCTGCAGTGTAATAATGCATATATCGTTACATGAACTGAACACTACCGCTTAGATTTTCTTTCAGAAAAGAATTCGTGTTACAAAACACAAGTACAGTCCATACTAAATATGGATTAATACTATGACTAAAAAAATCTATTTAAAAATACATTTGTACATTCAAATTTGAATTCTAACGAAAAATATGAACCAGACGAGCCCTTTCGTACTTTGTAATTTAGGGTATAATTACCAAGAAGGTATTAATATGAATAAGGATGAAAAAAAGGCGTTCGAATCATACTTGAAAGCTGCGAACATGGGTTATGCTACAGCGATGTTCGACGTTGGTTATTGTTATAGAAATGGAATTGGAGTTGAAAAGGATGAACATAAAGCATTCATTTATTATCAAAAATCTGCTGATATGAATGATGCTCAAGGAACACGCGGTGTTGGTTATTGTTATCTTCATGGAATTGGAGTTGAAAAGGATGAACATAAAGCATTCATTTATTATCAAAAATCTGCTGATATGAATGATGCTCAAGGAACACGCGGTGTTGGTTATTGTTATCTTCATGGAATTGGAGTTGAAAAGGATGAACATAAAGCATTCATTTATTATCAAAAATCTGCTGATATGAATGATGCTCAAGGAACACGCGGTGTTGGTTATTGTTATCTTCATG